AATAGTTCAAAAATGCACTAAAAAACATTGCAAGTATGATATTATACTGGACAATTGTCACTTATTTCTTACAAGAATGTCTCCCAGTAAACACACGGGTATTCTATAGAGAAATCATACCATGTGCGATAGATGTATTAATCCCGGTGACTGTAGATCATGGTACTTGGAGATCCATTGATAATTCTGACATTTTTCTTTAACCTGTCCCTAACTCTAACTGTAATCCTGACCTTAACCTTAGGCCCTAGTTTTAATCTAAAATACCATAACCGTACTTAACAGTGTAGATTTACAAAGAATTACTTAGGAAATGAGTAGACTACTGTTCCTACCTCGCCAAATTCAAAAAAGCAGACTTGATTTGGATTGACGTTTTGCTAAGTCTGATTGGTTCTAGAAAGTTGACAGACCTTGATTTTGGTTATGATACTTGAACTTCTCTCTTAAGACTTCATGCACACCAACTATCTTTTAATGACTGACTGCCACTCCATTATGTTTCTCTTAAAATGTTCTTAGAAACTTACCCGAACATTTGACTGATAATTTGTAACACGGGGTTTTATTTTCCATCCGTTAAAATTTGTTTCGTTTCAACTAGATAAAAACCAGGCAAAGACGGGACAGCCAGTTATCATCAGGAATTCATAGCCTAGCAGATAAGGCATTATCTTTACGCAATAGTTGGCGTAGTCTGCTTACTCGTCGTAGTCCACCAGTGTGTAACAATTCTGAAGCAGTTGACAGTCAGAACTTATTAGACACCTCTGCTGATGGAAACGAATCCGAAGATGAATTAATAAGAAATCCAGTAATGAATAGATCAGTAACATCATTACGTGTTCAACATCATTCTGAAAAAAATAATCCGTCATTTGAAATGAGAAGAACATGCAGTTTTAGTAATCGAAGACGTCCATAACCTTTTACTTCCATCACTTTTTTGGAAAATTATTCTATTAATATTCCAGCAACAGACAGAATCCCGAAGGAAGAAAATTGTGCTCCCTTCTTTTCCGCGGTACTTATATAGTCAGCTCGCCTTCCAAGCATCATACAATCTTAGGAAAAATTTGAATCTATCAGTCATTTGTAAGTAGTATTGTTTGATTGACTGTTTCAGTTCTCCTTGTTGTTTTCACAACTCTGTGCATATTTTCCTCTTACCACCTTTATTTTTAGCATATTTTGTTTATTTCTGTCGCGATCTGCAAACTTAGTCTATTCATTCTCCTAAAAGTATAAAACTACCATTACTTTCTTTACACCTAATATTTTTGACTGTGAAATTTCATTTGTAATTCTTTTATGCATTGCCTTTATTGTGTTTAATTATACAAATAATATTGATTACTGTTTAACTATGGCTTTAAAAATGATAATATTTCATTTTACTGTGATTCTTTTCTCTTTTCTGTCTTTAAAAAAAGTCTTTCTATCAATTTATTGGTTGGTTTATACTGATAATTATTTATAATATTATTATTATGCTATTTGTCGCTTTTTTCTTGTGATACAAATGATCCTATAAAAACAATTAAATATGTGATTCTTCATGAGTTAACTTTATTAAGCAATTATTCTCAACAATTTAGTAGCTGTGATGATGTTGATGAGTAAAAATAATTGATTAATGAAAAAAAGATGTTGTTTGTTGAGCTTCTTATCTCTCTATCAATCAATTTGTGAAAGGAAGTAAGTGAAATAAACTACAGTGATCAATTATTATTAATCACTCCGCTTTCGAGTAGAATATAGGAGGTCTTCAGCAGCATATCTCCATTTCATCATGTTCTCTGAAGTCGTCTTCAGATGGCTCCACAATTCCCTATAAGCTCATGCAACTGGATCCTGGTTGCTTTGTTCCCAGAGATCTCTGTTGCTGATCTTTGTACTCAGGTTTCCACTAATTTTCAGTTTAGTCTAACTAGTGGACAAGTATGCAGGATGACAGTATGGTCAACCTTTCGCCTTTTGATTACGCTGATTGCACAGTGATCCATGTTGCGGATTTCACCTCACTGAATTAATTTCAGTGTTACGAATTATAATTTTCTTGACTTAATTATTTAATTAAAACACAAACATTCACTGTGGACGGCGAGATATACATCACATACAATCTTATAGCTTGTGTAGGGAGTAGGGTACTAGCCGGACGCCTAAGACCGAAGCGAGTGGTTGTCGTAATGGGCCACTTCCAAGCCTCTGACTTGAAGTTTCATCCACAAGGCAGTGGAGCAGCGTTGCCATGGTTAACGATGACGGACACAGGTTCACGCGCCACTCAATCTGTTCTGATTCTGTACTCCATGTACACCATAGGTCTGGAATTAAAACTTCTAAGCTTCCTTAAGTAAACAGACATCTCTACCAGTCTGGTTATAAACGCTAGACGTTCGCATTCGCCTTTTCACTTTTGTAAGTAACACAGCCGCCCAATGAAGGCAATAAGTGGCACTTACCCGTCGGTGGCACAGCGGTTAAGACGCTCGCCGACCATGCAAATGGCCCCGGGGTTCGATCGCCGGCCGACAAACTCCTTTACCTCACTGAGCCAGAAATAATGCTGGTAAAGAGGAAAGGTTGGGCATGAGGCTAGCAGCCCCATCTTGTAAAAATAAACACTGCTACAGAAACGTCAAGGCACTATCTTGAAGCTCTACGTTCCACTGGAAACGTGAAGGAAAAAAACCGTCAAAGGCCATGAACTCGTAGGCACACGACATTTCAAGAGGAATACTGAAGTGCAACTATTCTTAGTCCCACTAGGTTATTTGTGGTGGTTATCTTATAAGATGACAGCTCTCTCTTTGTGTTCTGCTCCCCTTCGGCTTTTTTTTTGAAATGCCTATAAATTTAAGATAGCTAAGAATTTTGACGTTGACACTTTGGATACCTTAATGCATAACGGGTTCTCTGTCTCCACGTAAATGCTGATGTGTCATTTTCATTTTTTTTCCCTTATAAACAGTGTAATCTCAGGTAGTCTGCAGCCGTTGACTACCGCCAAAATCAAATACCATCTGATACTGCAAACGTAGTTTCTCTTGCTTTGTCGATGTTTATCAAGGAATCGTGCATGAAACCCTTTTTTAGAGAAAAGAGTATATAAATACATTACCAATCATCTGCGACATGTAGCTTGGAATTTAGCCGAAACGTCGTGTGGATGATAGCCATTCAAAGCAGTTTTAAAATAACGTATATGTAATGTCATTAAGTGAGATACGACAGTGTCTGCAAAAAGAGTCAATTTAAAAATAACCTACACTTTAGCTTATCCCCTTCCCAGGAAGTCAGATTCGTGTTATAGGCACAAAATAGTACAATAATTAAGTTGAGAGAAATTTCGTTTTGGGAAGTCGATTCATAGTAACCTGTCAGGGAGATTACATCTTAATAACGACCTACTAAATTCCCCAAAACCTAGTAAGCTATTTTCTATCTCGTTTCTTAAATCAATCATGATCGAAAAACCTTGATATCTAACGCTGTCAACAATACTACTCAAAAATTATGGACTTCAGTTACTCAATGGTGGGAAGCATAGGTAACCAGGACGCAGACTCCAACTTATTTGGGGTCCGTTGGCCGACAGTACTTGCACAAGTGAGTAATAATGTCACCAGTCATCAAAATTAGGTGCTAAACTACATGTCAGTCGAGTACTCCACTCCCTTGATGATATTATCTCGCGAAATTTGTCTTCTTAATGCCTTATTCAAATATAAGTGTGTCAGCATGAAGATGATGGGTGAAGTCCAGAAGACGAAGACAGTATTCAATGTAAAACTAGAATGAACTGCAACGATGACACTGCAAAACTAAGTGACACATTCTAACAATAAGTGAATAAATTTGTATCCAACGTCTAAACTTCAAACAAAGTGAATTAACGACTATAGCACACACAAACGCCTATTCATTGATGATACACCAAATAAAATGCATCCACTGCGGTCAAAACACACACATACAATTATGAAACTTCTACACACCCGAACTCATGCTTGAAACCAGTCCCCCGTACGTCTCAATCTACTAGACCAACCACTTTTAAGTGTGCTGATGATACTACCCACTTGCTCAGGTTGGACAGGATGAATCACTCACGCCGAACCACCTCCTTCCTGAATGTCATTCCCCAGGACCAGAAGTAGGGAGACATTTGAGAGAAATACGTATAATAGATAGGTCAGTAATAGGCTTCTCGTTTCAGGCGGAGGCAAGTGACCGACAAGTAATCAACTGACACAAACCACCTTACTGTGTTGAACTTTGTGTCTCTGAAAGGGATCCGCAGATTCATCTATCCGCTAATTTCTCAGCAAAATGCAGTTCAACAAAAACGGACTGTAGTACTGCGGTGCTTTCGCGCTACTCACTACGGTCAATCACAGATATCGAAAGGATGAGCACCCACTAACATAGTGCTTCGACAGACTTAAGGAAATGACCGGATTTATTCGAACGCCAAGTACCTCACTCAACGAAAAAACTGGTTTCCTGGTCAAGCGACACGGACGTCTAACCGTAAGACAATATAACGCAGTTACATTTGACTAACGAACGAACTAATATACAAGCGGTAAAAGCATCTACGGGAACTACAGCAGACAGTAAGGATTAATTTAATAATAGCTAGACCACCTATATGGATTCGGCAGGTAGGGAGTAACACGGAACTACAAGCGGACCATATCGCTTATTGCGATGGGAGAGGACGACTACTAGTTCTACATGAGTACACAATATTAAGCCAAAGACTTCAAAACATGCACCTACTAAGTATGCTTGCAGTAGTCAACAAAATACATGAAAACCATAGCTCTCAACAAACGATCACACGAGCTGCTACATAACTCTATAAAACTGTGCGAATAGACCTAAGTCCAGTAGTATACATAACCACACCCCAGCAATACACCTTGCGAATGAAAACATGAAAACAGTAAGGTCCGACCGTACAAAATGTTTACTATACGATTAACATATTAACCGAACAAATCGAAGCCCATCGACCCGTCCGAATCGTCATCTGATACTGGCTTTTCTTCTTTAACAGGTTCCTTCGCCTTCTCAGGAGCCCCAGATGCAGTTGGGGCTGCAGTTGGTGCGGTAGCTGCTGGAGGCGCCGCCGAACCCATAGACATCAGCAGATCCTTGATGTTCTTTCCACTCAAAGCAGTTGCGAAAAGGTTAGGAAGATACGGCTCCACAAACTTGATATTGGCTGCCTTTAGTATAGTATTGATTTTATCAGCTAGAGGGAAAAAAGAACATTAACAGGTAGAATTATACGAGGCACATTGTAAAAACACTCCTACATGTTTATTAGGGACTGACATATGTACAGTAATGAATGTCATATCCATTAAACATTAAGTTAACCAGCCTAATGCATTCACTCGTAATATATGAACATGAAGTGAGCCTATCTACATTACAATGATCTACACCTTAGCGAACTAGTATGAGCAACAAAAACAATGACAACTTAAATTACCTGTGACATCTATGTCGTCATCAGCTAGCATTAGGGCTGCGTATACACAAGCGAGCTCGCTTTTCGACATCTTGCTAAACGTGAGCTGCAACCTGCCTTAGCCACGAGGGAGCACCACGTTAATGGATCGTAATGGCGGGCTAACACAACATGGACACACATTCCACATGTTCAATATCCAATACAATATCCAATATCGTTTTTACGAGCTAGCATAAACCATTTTGATTTCTTTATGGTCGCTTTTTTATTCTTAAGTAAAGGTTCCTGGTCTTCGGGCAAATTCTGCGTCGTTCGTCCCGCCACTCGACTGTCGTAGATTCGGTTGACTCCTAAAGGAGTGGAGCTGGGATTAATTATGTTATTTGTAGTATATGGCGTCATAGGACCATATTACTACTGTTAATGGAGTTGGTCCTTCCACAAGTTAGTCCTCCGGTATCGCCGTCAAAAGAAAAGAGATAATAATTAGAATAACATAATTAGTGTAGGTTATTCAGACTAAAATAAACAGAAAAAGAAATAAAAAACTTAAAAACAGACATCCAAGTAGGTTCGGAGTTAATATAAATAATAAATAAATATACATGTATATAACATCAGTAAAGATAATAATTGTAAGCGTAGTAGTTGGAATAGTCAGGAGAGTAAGACAGGAGACAATGAAAGAAGCAGAATTATGAGTTCAGATGTCTACCCATGGATGGAGTGTCGGAATTTTAGGGGATAGGCCCTCTGAACGCAGTCCTTGTGTCGCTGTTTAATTATCGGGCCTTCTTTTACAAGTGTTCAATGACGGTGCAAAGGCTACATCAGCCAGTAAGGAGTTCCAGGGACTGCAAATCTGAAGTGAAAAGAAATGGGAGCGCATCCGAGGCTTTGCCCTCTGGTGATCTATACTTAGAGGATTTCCACGAGGAAGCCTATACCTACTCAGTGGCAGAACACCTATGACTCTATTATTCTGGTCATATGTTATCTTACAGGGAGTCATTAAGTCCCTCGCTAAGCTGACGGTAGTTGAGTGAGTATAGATCTCATTTATTAAACCTTTCGTAATACGAACTATTTTCAAAAACCTCTGGCGGAACGTCCGAAATTGGTAACATTTTTGCACATGTTTGCTCTGAAATTCATTCACTGCTTATTCTCATATAATTCTTGAAATTATGGTCCAAATTTCTAAACAACGTGTACGTAGAAACAAATAGTTTCAGATAGTGGATCAAATTCGGTTATAACTGCATTACCACCCTATAAACAGTAACAAATACAAGGTCTCAAAATCGCTGGAGTGCAGAACTCACTTTTGTGATACAGGTGAAAGAGGTTCTGTTAGAAAAGCCTGAGTTCTGTCAATTAAACCTCTGACAACGTTAATGAAAAATGAACGATCAATTCATGCTTGTTTGCTCAAACACAACTCCTCAATAATTTTGGCGGGTCATCAAAACGGCAGTCATCCTTTCATCGTTCGCTGTTCAGTGGAAGAGAAAAAAACTATCAGAAGTATTATCGTGATTTATTGTTACAACATTTATTCGCAGACCTTGTGTAGTAACCATATTGTTCGTTACATATTGGCGTAAGAATAAAGGATTCTCGAGTCGCCAATCAGTATTCTGGTTTTCGCGTTAGTCAATACAAAGTATTTCTGAAAGTATTCCAGGGACAGCATGAACTTCAGAGTAGTAAAGGCTGGACATTGACAGCTTCTGAGAGTTTTTCATAGTTTCTGATTGTCTTTGCTGACGGCTTCAAGTTATCTTTGCACAAGTATTATATGAAACTTTTCTGGGATTTTTCCTCAAGTTCAGTGATGCCGGAGAAAAAGAAGGGACAGAGCGTCTTGGAAGCAAGAAGGAAAGTAAGTAATGTTGAGTTGTCTGTTACATGTAACGATGTGTTTGATGTTAAGCGTGATAAGGTTGTTTTCAATGTTTCGTCGTCTAGGGATAATGGGAATATTAAACTGCTTAAATTTGAGACTCGGTGTTTCGACGGAAACCCAGCTGAATATTTACAGTTTGTAAAGGAGTTTGAAATCATGTTGAGTAGTATCAATCATGTCTCAAAAACCGTTAATGCCCAGCTCTTGCTACGCCGGGCCTCTCGCCGTCCCTCGAGGCATTTCAGAAACGCTAAGTACTAACAGATGCGAAAACCGGAACACCGATTGGCGACTAGAAAATTCTTTATTCTGACACCAACATACAAGCAGCATAATAAACCAAGTGTTCTGACGGCTTTTCTACGTTCTTTTTGAACAGCGACCGATGAGACGATGACTGGTGTATTGATGCCTCCGCGAAAATATAGGGAAGTTAGTTATGAGCAAACAACCATGAATTGATCGTTTAATCTTCAAATATATTGACAAGTAGTTTTTTATTAAATGATGAAATGAACTCAATGTATTTGATGAGAGCTAAGGCCGGCTTTCGTCTAACTAAGTGGGTCTCGAAGAGCCTGGACGTTTTGAAGCATATACTTCCAGAAGACAGAGCACCTACTGTACGAGATTATTTAATTTTTTATTTTATTTTTGATTTACAGCTTGATTCCACACTGTATTTTTGGTACAAGTATGGAATTTTCAGCATGGATATCGGTAGCCCAAATTTTGCAGGCCGACCATAGATATCAGGTGTGCGCCGGAGTGGGCTCGAACCCCGGACCATGTGCATGGTCGGCGAGAGTCCTAACCACTGTGCCATCGACGCACATTTGCCTGATGATACTCTACCAGTTGAACGCATATTAGGTATGCGATGGGATGTGAACTGTGATAACTTTGGGTTTAGTCTTGATGATATTGATAAGCCAGTTGTTCGCAGAAGTGCTCTATGTGTTGTCGTCCCTGCTTGACCCACTTGGATTAGCAGCAAATACTTTCTTTTCGGCTAGGAGGTTATTTCAAGAGACACACAGGAAAGGGTTACAGTGGGATGAACCATCAAGTGAGAGGCAGAGAGAAGAGTGGAAGGGGTGGGTTAACAGTTTAAGAATGCTGAATCTACATTCCGTCTCACGTCCACTTAAGCCGTCGAGAAATCATGATATAATTGACTTCCATGTTTTTCTGATGCCTCTGAGGTTGGATTTGGTGCAGCCGTATACATCAGAACCACCTTAAGGGATGATATAGATGTTAGCCTGGTGATGGGTAAATCTAGAGTTGTACCTCTAAAGACGGTTTCGATTCCGAGATTAGAACTTACTGCAGCCTTACTAGCTGCGCAGTTATTCACAACGGTGTGTAGAGAGTTGGATTACCCCAAGTATCCCGTAACGTTTTGGACTGATTCGATGTCTGTGATATATTATATACGCAACGAGTCAGCAAGATATGCATGTTTTGTAGCTAACAGAGTATCTCAAATTCGTGAACTAACAACTGTTGAGCAGTGGAGGTACGTACCGTCTGGAAAAAATCCAGCTGATCTAGCCTCGCGAGGAGTTATTGATATGAATGTGGTTAAAAATAAGTGGTGGAAAGGTCCAGAGTTCTTGCTAAGGGCTGATAGTATGTGGCCTTGTAGAGAAGATGAACCACCGATAAACGAGTATGCCTTGGAGTTGAAGACAAGTGTCAGTTGGACAGTTTGGAGGTACGTTCGAAATTGGTGACATTTTTGCACGTGTTTGCGCTGAAATTTGTTTACTGCTTATTGTCATATAATCCTTGAAATTATGGTCCAAATCTCTAAAAAAGGTGTTCGTAGAAACACAGTTGTTTTAGATAGTGGCTCAAATTCGGTTATAACTGCATTACCGCCTGGTAATACAGTATCAACTACTAGCTCTCAAAATGGTTTGAGTGCAGATCTCACTCCTGTGATACAGGTGAAAGATGTTCTGTTAGAGAACTCTGAGTTCTGTAAACTAAACCTCCTTTTGAAAGATATGCAGAGGCAAGTAAGTGAAATTCAGAAAAAATTAGATCAGTTTGATAGTATGTCACTGCCAATCTCAAATACCACGGAGAGCCGTTCTGATATTGGCCAGGTTAAGTCTTTACTGGATGTAACTCAAAACAAGCTTTCGAATTTAGACCCAATAGCCTGTCTGTTAAAGCAACATCCTAAAATATCTCCAGACAACCTAAATAAAGCTGAAAATCTGATTGACTGCTTGGCTACGGAGGTGATGAAGCGTATAACCTCTTCTCACCAAGCTATAGTTTACAACGTCCCAGATTCTCTGCCCCTGAAAACTGTAAGACACAAAATCCTGATTTGTTGCGGCATGGCTAGTGTTCCATGTGAATGCAAACGACTTCGTAAAAAGTCTAACCAGGCTAATTGCCCAATCATTTTTAAATTCAGTAATTCCCTTGATGCTAGTAAGTTTACTAAATGTCAGGATCACTTAAGACTGAATAGCAGTTATAAGTCTATAACCGTAGCTCAGGATAAAACACCGTGTCAGCGCAGAATAATGCGTAGTAATAACCTGGTCACCTCCTCTAGCTTAGATTTACCAAAAAAGGATCGTGCACAGCAACAGACACCTAGTGCTGAAACTAGCATTCAGCAAACTACACAACAAACACGCCTGCCAATGGAACTAGGAACTGATTTAGATACCAGTACCCCTGTAAATAAAGCCTCATCGAAAGATGTTAAAATGACTAGAACTTCTGCAAGTTGTTCTAAGAAATTTCCCCCCAAACGTAGTAACCTCACCACGATGAACAAATTTCGCAGGGTTGAGACTAATGATGGGGAAGAATACTTTGTATTCAATAAGCCTGCTGAGAGTAAGAATGCCAACAAACCATCACTTGTTACGAAAAACTCCTCTCGAAACATAAGTATATCTGGAGGTGTTCCGCATGCTCCACCTTATAGAAAGTCAGGCTCCAAGACTCCTAAAGTCTTGCAGCCAAAGCACCTTCCTTCACAATTCCCTTTAAGTTATAAAAACAACCCGAAAGTGTGTACCGGTATGACGAATAGCAGTTGGATGGGTAGACCTTTTGATGCTATGCCTTTTAACCGTCAACCTAGGCCCAACCTGTACTACCCTTATATCCAGGAACACATGGTAAATTTTCCAGGTGTCCCG